AACGGGCCGTTCTGCCAGGAGAACGGGCCGTTCTCCCTTGAGTACGGACCGTTCTCCCTTGAGTACGGACCGTTCTCCAAGAAGAACAGGTCGTTCTCCAAGGAGAACGGGCCGTACTCCCTTGAGAACGGGTCGTTCTTCAAGGAGAACGGACCGTTCTTCAAGGAGAACGGACCGTTCTTCAAGGAGAACGGACCGTTCTTCAAGGAGAACGGACCGTTCTTCAAGGAGAACGGCCCGTACTGAAAATTACTTTTTAGTCCTTTTGATTAGACTGGAACGGCCCGTTCCAGTTTAATTTTTTTTCCCAACCAGAATTTTAAGATCAGTTATTAAACAACCGATCTTAAAAGTTAACTTTTAAAATCGGTTGTTTAACCGATTTTAGAAGTCTAACTTTTAAAATCAGCTCTTTCAAAATCGGTTACAGAACTGATTTTAAAAGTTAAAAATAACCGATTTTAAAAGTCTTTTTTTCACTAGTGATAGAGATTATTTTTTACTTATATACACTATTAAAATTATATTACTAATTGACATGAAATTTCTAATAATAATAATATTTTGGTTCTTATATTTTTGAAATAGAGTGAATTTTGTTTCTGGTCATATATTTTACTTTGACCTAACTTATGGAGAAAAAAAAATTGTAGTTTAAAAGATAAGAAACCAAAACTATTTTTTTAAAAAAAAATGTACGGACTAACATCAATTTTGAAAATTTTGAGGGATAAAAAACAAACTTTACCTTAATTTTATTTTGTTATGAATGCAAAATTTATGTTCATGTGTTAGACTTGTTCACTCTCTTCATTTGAGTATGTGAATAGCACTATACCATTATAAAGTATACATGAAGTGTGGTGGCCATGCTTTGAAAATTCAACTTATGTTGTGCAAGAGATGAACAAGAGGAATCTTTCCCTTTAATCCATTATCTTTTTGGGATTTTCTTTGTTACATAATTGGAACATATGAACCAGCCATGGAAGTTGGAAGGTAGTTGCTTTTGAAATGGCGTGCGCTAGCTTTCTCCCTCTGCAGTTTTAACACCAAAGTTGCTCAGTCTAATGATTGGTTGCTGGAGCATGTCCTCATCATTTAGATAAGCAAGCTAGGGAACTGAACACTGAATGTCACGAACTTTTTTTCAACTTTACAAATTTCAGTTCATACAAATTTGGAAGTTGGAAGGCATTACTTCACTCACAAAATCATTTGAAAACATAAAATCCGGCCACTGTTGGGAAAGTTTTTGTATTGTACTGTGTATGTCGCATGATCATGATGTTGTGCCCTTTAGTCAAACTATTTTGATTGTTTAAATTTTCCTCCATAATTTAGGAAAGGTTTAATTTGGTTGTTATTTCAATTTCATGTAAATAAATATAATAAATAATAAATGACACTTCTATGATTATCATAAATTAATGACATATTTAAAATTCTTAAAATTCTCAAACTAAGCATTAATATCTACTTAATAATTAATCAAAATCTAATAATATCTAACTCAATTTAAGACTTTAATTATCAAATAGGATATTAGTAAAAAATCAAAACTTTCAATAAACTAATTTGTCACGATGACAACTCGAGAATTAGAAAGTATTATGTCTCTTTGTTATGTTAAATTTTTCATTATTATGCGGGAATAGCAATAACGAGATATTTGTTAGGCATGGTTTGATTAGGAGAAAAAACAAGGATATTCTAAAAGTAAATGGAAAATTGTTAGAGTTTCTAAAAAATTCTTATGAAGCAATGGAGCAGGCACGGACAATTGGTAGCTAGTAGCTACCAACTGGCAACCATCACAAATTAAATACCCTCTACCAGCCCCTCGGTTAAAGTACTTTGTATTTTTCATCTTTTTGTTTTCTCCTTATTGCTTGGTACAAAATGAGATTGACAGGATCAGGTTTCTTAAATGTTGCAGGGTTTCCAAAAGGAAGAAAGTGTGTCAACTTTCCTATATTATGCTCTAATGCTCATACACATCATCTTGACCCCTTTTTTCTTGTACTAACAAGTGTCAAGCAGCTTTCACTAATGCTATTAACCTTCTTAAATTACAATAACCAAAATCTTGTTTAGATAACATGTGCAACCTTCACCACTATCCTGGTTTTTCATCATACTGCCAACAGTATTAAATTAACAGATCTTTTAACAAGAAATGCCGCACATATACATAAACCAGATATATTTTTACATAAGACAATCATAGTCGAATTTGTTAAGATTATCATAGTCCAAAAAACTTTATTTTTAAATATTTAACAAGACTGCATAATCGTAATACTCTTAAGTTTAAGTACTATGAATATAAGATTGAGAGTATTTATGTAGAAAACAGATTTTTGGACATTATTGACGCTAGAGAGAGAAGTGAAATACAAATATAATAAGTGACATGACATTAAAAAAAAATAAAGAAAATAAAAAGTGTGAAATTCTATCCATCGTTAATTATCTATATATTTATTGTTATTTTTCATCGTTAATTATCTATTTATTGTTATTCAGCTCTGTAAATACTAAATAAGACAGCAACATCTGAAAGATCGGTTGTTTGTCTGTCGCTACTAATAATAAGCAGCATAGAAGTTGTGGTGATTAGTCATACCTTCTCACCTCACCACTGTTTTGACACAGAAATTTTAATTTAAAGGAAGTCAACATCTGTACAGAAAAAGGTGTACAAAGCTATGCCTCAAACAAAGTCATTACATAAACTAAAAAGAAAATGGTGAATAAGATGAGAAACATAACATTCAAGGGTAATCAACCCCACCAGTTCACCACTCTCTCTCTTCAATGCTGCAACCTTATTTGGATTTTGGACAAGCTTAGTTAGCTAAGAAGCATAGCACCCTTGAATAAGCATCTTGGTATCTTCAGCCAAAAATGGAGAATAGCTGCATTCTGGTTCTGGCTTTTCTCCTCCTCGTTCTCCACTCAAGTACGACAAAAGCTGCCTTCAGTGTTGGTGGTGGTGTAGGTGTAGGTGTTGGTGTTGGCAATGGAAATGGTGGTGGTGGTGGTGGAGGTGGTGGAGTGGTCTGGGTTGGAGGAGGGATTAACAGCCCTGAGCCACCTGGATCTTCAGTGCCAAAGCCTGAAGGAGCTTACACAGCACTTCAGGCATGGAAATGTGCAATCACTGAAGACCCTCTTAAGATTTTAGAAAGTTGGGTTGGTCCTAATGTGTGTTCCTACAAAGGGGTCTTTTGTGCAAATCCTCAAGATGAAATGGATGCATCAGCTTTCCCAGTTGTTGCAGGCATAGATCTCAACCATGCAAATCTGCAAGGAACTCTTGTCAAAGAGCTCTCTCTACTCACTGATTTGTCTCTTTTCCACCTCAACAGTAACAGATTCACTGGCACTGTTCCTGATGCATTCAGAGACCTGGTGTTTCTGGAAGAGTTAGACCTCAGCAATAACCAGCTTTCAGGTCCTTTCCCTGCTGCTACTTTGTACATGCCAGGCCTCATCTACTTGGACCTCAGATTCAACTACTTCTCTGGGGCCCTCCCTCAGGAACTTTTCAGCAAGAATCTGGATGCAATATTCCTCAATAACAATCAATTTGAAGGTGAAATTCCACAAAACTTGGGTGGTTCCCCAGCCTCAGTGATAAACCTGGCCAACAACAAGTTGAGTGGAAACATCCCAGCAAGTTTGGGCTTCATGGGTTCCAAAATAAAGGAGATTCTGTTCCTCAATAACCAGTTAATTGGTTGCATTCCCGAGGGAGTAGGGCTATTCACAGAGATGCAAGTTCTGGATGTGAGCTTCAACTCACTCACGGGTCATTTGCCAGACACACTATCTTGCCTGCAAGACATAGAAGTTCTCAATGTGGCACATAACAAGCTTTCTGGGGAGTTATCAGATGTAGTCTGTTCTTTGAGAAGCCTTGCAAATCTAACTGTTGCTTACAATTTCTTTTCTGGGTTCAGCCAGCAATGCTCAAGGCTTTTCTTTAGGAATGTTGGTTTTGATTTCTCACTAAATTGCATTCCTGGGAGGGACATGCAGAGACCTCAACCTGAGTGCTCTGTCGTCCCAGGTGGTAGCCTAAGTTGTCTCAGAATCCCCACACCAAGGCCTCTTGTTTGTGGTTCAATGGCTGTAAGTAAGTCTAAGCACATTGATCCCAATTCATCATCCCCTTGATGGTAATTGCATTATTAGTTACAGGTTGGTCATGGCTGTTCCATTAATTACTGCTACCAATCTTAATTCACATCCTGCTAATTTAATTCTTCAAAGATTCCTTGTGCATATTCGTAGTTATACTTGGCGAGCACGGTTAATACATGCCTATGTTTTAAAGGAAATTATTTGTGATGCTTCTAGTATCTACCTTGATCCGCATCATAAAAGATGGATAGGTTAGTTTATATTTCCCGTGACATGTTTCTTTGATTTTGGTTACTTTAATTCGTACTGGTTTATCACGGGTTCTCCAATTATTCCTTCAACAACTTCATTAACCGCATTCGACAAGGCCCTACTTGATTGCTTCTGAACAGTAAAATTTGACACCACTGTAATGCACTAGGTTGCATCACAACATTATATCTAAATTACTTGGAAAGATTCGCCTGTCTGAATTCAACTTCAATCATACAAGTGGGGATAGCATTGGAAATAGACTGTACACTGCGGATTGGTTATACTTAAAGATAAACAATTATTAGACAGGTGTATTAATGCAGTGATAAATATGCTTACTGCATAGATTATGCATCAGAAATGCCGTTGTGTGATCAACCTAATAGCTTGAAGTTTAAACAATTTATTGCTGTTTGGTGAAATCCTTCTAAAGCCCAAAACAAAGTAATGTTATATCCTCTTGTAAATTCAGCTGATATTTAAATGAAGATACTAAAAGAAAAAGTAAATATATGTAATAACTTGAAAATATTGAAAAGAAAAAAAATTCAATACTTTTTTTTTAGTTTAGGAAGACAGTTAGTATGAAAATGTTGAGTTAAAAATATTTAGAACTATTCCTCGAAACATGCAAACTGCAACACATAAAAACTAGTACCACTCAGAATCCCTGTTGTAACAAGCATGATATTAACATGAAAAATCATGGACAGGCACTACAACAGGCAATCATGAACAAAAATACAGAATTCTGAGAAGCCATTTTCTATTCTAAGGAATATAATACATTGGGTTTGGGATTTTAAAAGACCGTGCGGCCACTGCATAACCCCCTAAATCACTCCACTGATCCCCAGAGTTCCCATGGATCCTATAGCCTTCGCTCTCCAACTCTGCTCTCTTCTCAGACTTGTAAGTACTAGCTGGTTTGCCTTGATCAGAAGACCCTCTGTTTCATTAACAAGGAATTTCAGGTGAAATTTATTTAACAGAACAAGACATATATATTTCCAAGAACCAATATTTTATATACCTCAAGAAGAGCCTCTCCCAATTTTTGTACCCTGAAAGTAGAAGGTTTGTCTCCGTGGCATTCCTTTGATATTCACTCCTCCCAGTTAAGAGAAATACCGTGAAGCCCAATTCCTGAAGCTCGTTATACAAACTGAAACTGGATGGCAAAGCTGGGGCTGCAGCTAACTTCACCCAATTATCAAAGGAAGTCTCATTGAAGAGCTCAAATCTGCAGAGTCCAAAGTTAGAAACAGAAACCCATAATCAAGTTAAAGAAATTCACATAAACAATTACTGTGTTGATTGAGAAAATCAATTTTAGATTTTAACCAGCGTCATTGTGAGGTCTTTTTACCTTGTGTTTCACTCACTCATTTAGGCAATTGAAAGAAAGAACACATGCCTTCCTGCTAAAATTAACTTCCCACTAGTAAAAACAAGCGCATTAAATAGCATCTATTCATTAGTCCCCCAAATTCCATTGATGTGAGAGCCATTGATATTTGATAAACTGCCCTTCCTAATTTCAATTCTACCTTACTGCAGATTTTCAGTCATCCTTTGGACAATGAAATCAATCCGTCAAAACAACACAACCCTTATAAAATTACAATTGTAGAAAGCCATCTTCTAAACAGTTACACTCAAATTTCCTTTTCTTAAAAGCTAGTTGCTCAAGTGTTATACATCAAAGATTTGATTAGGATTTGGTTCCTTTGATGTGTAATCGGATTTGATAATATCCCATCAAAACTTTTATTCAAAAGCAACTTTTCAACAAAAGATTCTCATTGCAACCTGTTTTAAAATACAAATCAAAGATGCATGTGAAAAAACTTATTTACAGTTATCTAGATTTATTATGATATAAGAATTTGTGTAAATGTTTAAAAAAGTTTACGATACATTGATAAACTGTTTTAACTTATTTCAAAAGAAAATTCAAGATAACTTATTAAAACAAATTACAATTTAATCTATTTCTTCTTCAGTTTTTTTTTTTTTTTTTGAGAAGTTTTCTTCTTCAGTTATAAGAGTACCTTACACATAAATACTTATTCAATACAATGATCCTGTTCCTGCATCTCAATTATTTTTATCAAATAATTAAGCGTCAAACCATTTTTTATACATTAAAAGATTCTCATTGCACCATTAATTAAAAGCTGTTTTAAAATACAAACCAAAGATGCTTTTGAAAATACTTATTTAAGTTATCTAGATTTATTTTATGATTAAATACTCATTTTTTTCATATAATTTTATGAACTATACCTTTTAATTTCTATAATTAAAAATATTTTTTTATAATTTATACCATTTTTTTTTCTTTTTAGTCCTATAACAAATAGACCAAGACTAAAGAAAACATTTTTTATGTGTTAAATCTTAAAAATAAAATTCCTAAAGTCACATATCACCATTTAATGGAACAATATAAACATATCACCTCCTAATCATTTATGGTTATACACTCTAGATTTATAGTTCTTATTTTTTTATCATAACAAAAAATTTTCAGAGCAACGCACTCTTTGGTTAAAATTTATTAAAAATTACAAAATCATAGATAAATAAAAAATAAGACTCAAAAAAATTTATAATCAATCTCTATATATTAAACATGACCTATATCTTACGTGAGAGTGTTTTTACGAATTTTTTTTTTATAAAAGAATTTTTAGGATTTTTTTTTAACCTCTTACCTAATTAGGTTTTTATTTATTATAACTATTTATTAGTTAAATTTCAATATTTTTAAAATAAATTTAAAATAAATAAAAATAATATTTGCTACAATATATATTATTTATTGTAAATTTAAAATACAATGTATATGTTTAAAAATATCTATTTATATAATTTTAAATATAATTTATATATTTAGACATAATATTTATTTATATATAATTTATTATAAGTTTTAGTTACATTTAATAAATATTTAGTATGTACATTATGTAGACTAAAATACTAATTTCTAATAAATTCAAACTAACTCAAAAGAGTATATACTTGGAAAAAAAAAAACTTACATTTCTTGTATATATAAACTAGTTTTCTCGATATATATATATATATATATTTAT